TAGTACTAAAATCAGCTATTTTAGCAATTTCAAAACAAAAACTTCATCCAGTCAACTTAAATTAGTTTTGAAATACAGAAAAAAGTATTTTGCTTATCGGAAATATTAAATTAACTCTATTAGTTTGAAATTAAAACTAAAATAAAAGCTTCTAGTAAGATCTTTCATTTTTAAAAATTCTTATTAAACTTAGGTATTGTATTTTCTGTGAAGATAACTATTTTGCTGTGTGTCCATTTTCCAAAAATTAGCACATTTATACACACCCCAAAATTTGAAAATTCTGTTTCTGATTAGTTTGCAAGACTATGTCATAACCTTGTTGAGACTGTTTCTGATTAGTTTGCCAGACTATGTCATAACTTTGTTGAGACTGTTTCTGATTAGTTTGTCAGACTGTCATATTATTGTTTAAATCATTTCTGATCAGTTCATAGAACTGTGACATCATGGCCTAGTGATTCTGATTTCTCCTTGTTATTTTTGCCCTTACTACAATTAATTCATAGCTGGTATTTTTTGTACTTTTGATGTTGTAGCAATAACATCACCAAATTTGGGATCAGTTGTCTGAACAATTCTCTTAAATAACATATTTCTTTGATATCTAAATTTGACATCCATAACTGAAAAATCTAATAGTTTATAAGTATGTGTATATGTGTGCATAAAATAAATATGCATATGTATGTGGATATTATTAGAGATGGTCATGAACTTAATATCAAATAGTTTAAAACATGATGTAAATATTGTTCAACTCTACAGATACCTGAAAAAATAAAGGGGAAATTGTATTATATAAATAAAAAAACACTTTAACTTTTGTAACAGATTTTCTAAATATGAAGTTTAGTGTATAAGAAATAAATAAAACAGTTTAACATAATTATTCAATTGTTAAGTGACTTTTCTCATTAATAAATGATACATTGATGCACTTATAGTTGAACTTCTGTTAATATTATTGTGCTTTTGTGAACTCCATATGTTTGTAATTGTATAGTTTATGCTATGCCAGTGCCACAAATGATTTTTGAATTCAGAGTTGTCCTTCTCTTACATAGGTTGCCACCAATGGCATAGTGTGGGCGGGGCAATTACTCTGCACGCTAAATTTTTAGGGATGAAAAAAATTAATTAGGCTGGGAAAATATGTAAGAAACTAGAAATTAAAACAGTTAATTGCTAAGTAGGTGCAATAGTTTAAATTATCTTGGGCACTCAAAACCCACCCAACACTACTAGTTGACACTTAAGACTGAAGAGCCCAATCTGTAGCTAGGGCGGGAGGATAATTTATGCCTTTCCCCAGGGGTATTTGCATGAAAGTGAATGTAACAAACTTGGTTGGAATTTGAACTCAGCTTGCCGAATTCTCATTCTGAGCCACTATCCATTACACCGCCTGCACTTTTTTTCATTATATAAAAAAAAGAGATTCTTTTAAAACTGTTAAATATATTGTCTTTCATTATTATTGCTTTAAATTAAAATATCAGTGGATAACATGCGTAAACAATGACTATACAATTGCCTAAGCATGTGGTTGTTGAATTCAAATACTTCTATTAGAAGCAATGACCCACTGATTTCTTGACAAGTGCTTCACTTTAAAAATAACACAGGATAGATTACTACTACTGCAAGTACTGAATGACTCTACTGTATTGCAAAATAATGCATACTTATCAATGATAACATGACTGAAAATATTTTTGTGGGTTAAAGCAAAGTGGAATGTTCAAAGTCAACATTAAATGATTTCAATTGGATATCTAATGAAGTTAAGCATAGAATTCTAAGCACGAAACAGATTGGTCCAAAGATTTGACACATTAACATCATATTGAGCATAGTTTTAATAATCATTTAATGCACATGAAACATTTGGTTTTATGTATACATGAGTGAACTAAAGTTTAAAGAGGGCCACTTAACTCACTAATTTTTATATATGATTTGACAAAGAATAAACTTTACTAAGTCAATATAACTTTTACTACAACACTTCAGTTTATAATCTGTGAGCTTCAATGTAGATGATCATGGACATCAGTTAAATAATTATCTTATCATCACCTGATGAAGCTAATGGTAAGTTTCAATTGTTTAGTTTCGGGTGTGTTCACAAACTGAGAATAATAGAATGACCAATTTCTCATAATGTTTAGAAAGTCTTCATCCCATAATTTCTGTACATTCATTTGTAAAATCAAATCTCATTGGTTATATATTTTTTGTGAGGTTAATTGCATTTACTGTAAAATTTCATTTACATAAAGAAATTAAATAAGACATGGCTGGTGATGACTGTGGACCAATTGAAATATGATCCTGTTTCAAAAATTGAGAGGTGTAGTTCTTTTTTGAATATGTTGTTTGTTCATATTGTATTTACACTTACAGACATACTGGTTATGTTTAAAAATTATTTTTCCATTAGTTATATTTTTGTTATTTATTGGAATGGTTAGTATGTTGCCAGACCAAAATCCCTGTAATTACTGAAAAAAAAAAAAATAATAATGAATAAATTTTTGCCTTTCCACCAAATATAATCAGGAAATGTTGTTAGCAGCCCTAAAAAAATATTGCACTAATCTGCAGTATATGTGAACAAAATGTTTTTTATACAAATGAATAATTCATATGAAAACAATATAAAGAAAAATATTTCAATTGTTTTTTTTAAAAAAAAAAAATGTTTAGTTTAATTAATTTTGGAAATATAATTTGAATATTTTTGTTTTTTCTCTTTCTTTCCTTATGTACCAACCAGCTTCTAGTTTTAAGTCGTTAAAAAAGAAAAAAAAAGTTCAATAATTCCTTAATAGTAAATACAAAAATGCGTTAACTTTGGTTAATATTTTTTCCAATAATGTTTTTTTTTGAAAAAAAAAATCAAAAAAAAAACGAAAAAAAGCAAACTCCGATTCATACAAAGAGTTACTTACACTGGCAATGTGAACATTTTCAACATATAAAAAGAAAAAGTGATTATACTTCGGGCAATTTATTTTTTTAAAAATATTATGAGTCACTTATACATTATTTCAGAAAAAGACCTAGGAAAAAAAACAAATACTGGTGGAGAATTAATTGGCAAACCACACCTTAATAGAGCACATTTTTTTAGCCCTTCTTAACTGTCAAAAAAAAGCAAATGTGTGTGCGTGTTTTTTTTTCTTTTTAAAAAGGGAGGGTCCAGAAACTAATAATTCATTTCACTTTCGTGCCTTTAAGGCAAATCATAAAAGTAGCATGTCGAAAACATCATCAAAATAAATTTTGTTATAAATTCTGTCATCGTTAAGAGTACAGCATTTCTCCAACAAAACGAAAGTCCCGTAACTCAATTTGTCCACTATTTCGGACCCGAATATTGTCATTGCATTTTTTTAAAAAGTCCCTATTAAAAATAAATAAAATAAAATAGTGATTTGTTAAATGTCAAGACAGTATCCACTTCATTCAACAAAGAGGGCCGCAAAATTGTGTTTGCAGTGCAGGACTTTTGTTTTATTGGCGGTGAAACAAAAAAAAAAAACAAAAAACTTTTTCTTTAGTTAGAATGACTTGTGCCATTTACAAAGTCAAACTTTCTTTTCGGGTGTTTAGTCCCTTTATCGGACACCTGCTCGAGATCAATTTTTATTTCTCGACACATGATTTTATTGGAGAAAACTTTTCCTATTTTTTTTTCTCCCTTAAGACTACTAATGTTGTTATTACAGATCAAAACTTTGTGATAAATTTTTTTTGTTGATAGCATACAAAACAACACGCCCATTTTATCCTTTAAGAACTACGAGATATAACTAAATGCAAAAAAAGAAGAAGCAAAATTTGAAGTGAATCGAAACATTAAACAAAAAAAGAAGAAAAAATAGTACAAACGGAAAAAACATTTATAATTTATTTTACCTAGTATTTTTTTTCGTTATTTCTAATGTAAATGATTATTGCCTCCCTTTAAATAAATTCCTGTAGCGATAATTGGAAGAAAATAATTCTTTCCCTGTTGAAACAAGTTGCGCGCCAGAAAAGTATGGATAAAAACTAAAAGCTTCTCCAACAAGTCCTTGTAGTTAACATAAATGTAAAAGTAACTTGTTCCAAAAGATATGCAAAAAGAAATAAATACGATTCAATTGTCATCAGAAATTAATGTTAAAGTCATATGCTTCTATAAAATAAAAATAAATTATGTCAATTCTGATTTTTTTCTGATTATACACTGAAACTTACTTCGATTATTAATTAACTTAAATAATAAAAATGAACCAAATTCATTAAATTTTTCAAACAAAAGTTTCATAAGAAAAAGTTTAATTAATATTATTAAAGACCAGCTACATAATTGAATTGTTTTTTTAAAGTTAAAATAATTTTCAAATAAATACCAATAGAGATTAAATTAAAAAAATTCAAAACTAAAGTCTAATGTGAAATTATGCTAATATTGATTTATTTTAGGTGCTTCTACAAAAAACAAAGTCTTTAATTAAGTTTAAGAGGCAAATTATCATGAATATTGTTAACAAGTTTGCATTGTATTTTGAAAAAAATACGGTAGTCATAACTTTTTCATTCATTAAATTAAATGAAATGAATTGAAAGTTGTTCATTAAAAATTACATACCATCGACTGTCTGATAAAAAATATTCTAAGCTAAAATTTTAAGTTTATCATATAAAAAAAATACAGTACTTGTACTATCTTATAATTGCAATTTACAACAAAAAGTGATGTTGAGTTGTCCCAGAAAGAGTGAAAAACAAATTTGAGGACATTTTTCCCATCAGCCCGTTTAAAATGACGTCACGATGCTTGTCTCTCGGCCATAGTGCGCCATTTTGAAATGCTGTCGATGGTAGGGATAATAATTATTCTTTTGCCATCATAGATCTGTGATTTACTGTTGCGATTCTGATACGCCAGTACGATAAACTCTCTTCATCATACGGTTGGATAATACAATCATTTTCCGTTTATAATGGCGGGTAAGAAAGTTCTTCCTCTATATTTTACCACCGGTATAACACCACCACTAGCTCGGTCATACTTGTGCATAAGTTTTCCTTTTCTATCGTATTGCTACTTATCTGTGTATTAAAAAAAAAATCTTCCCTTATATCCCGTCATAACAAATAAAAAATATTTTTCTTATTTGCAGGCAATGGCGGGGAGATCCAATGGTGTTTTTCTCAAGTGAAAGGTACCATAGAGGAAGAAATTACCGAAGGTATGTTGGCGATGTCTCAAGACTTCTTTTTTTTTTTTTCCGTGATGTCGTATTATTTCTATCAGTTGTCAATTTTGGCTGATCATGTTGCACTCGTATCTTCTGATTAATGTCGCTTTACGGTCTGTCAATAATGCCTTGGGGTATTTCTTTCATCATACGAATAAAATATTTATGGATTCTGGAATGTCATTAAGGAAAAAAAAATCCGGAAGAATAATCAGTTTCCAACGTTTGTGAAATAAATTCTAGTAAAACATTGAAATAAGATTTGTTTTTTTTATTTTTTTTTAATAATTTAAATCTTATCAATCTAGGCTTTCAGTTTTCTTAAAATTGTTTTTCTTGAGGTATTTTAAAAATCGATTTCTTTAAAAATGACTAGCAATTGTCTCTTATGCTTCAATGTCTTTTTTTTCTTAAACAAAATCTGACATTTCAATTTTTTTTTTTACAAAAGAACGTACCCCAGAAATTTCCTTTTTATTTTTGAAATTTTTAATCCACATTAATTTTAAACCATTTTCCCTCTTTAATCTGATCGCATCCTTTGTTTTTTTGTTTTTTGTTTTGTCTTCACGAAATGATTTTACAAGTATATGAATGTGCTTCAAGCTTAAATATTGTATTTTTGTGTACCACTACTTTTTTCTTAAACTTTAAAATTATTTCTAGTAGCAGTAAATTCTCTTAGTCTGAAAAATTAGTTTCCAAGACAAGAATAAATCTATTGTACTGAAACGTTAGAATGTCCACACTGTTTCAATGTTAAAAGAAGATCTCTAACTAGAACAAAGTATTACAGTTTGACTCCCCTCTTCCAAAGATTATCTGTGATTCAATTAAAAGTTCATTTTGAAATTAGTTATTAAATAAATCTCTGGAAGATAGAATATGTCTAAAATGTGATAGACTAACTAATTGGTGATAAAAATCATTCGGAATTTAATTTAAAATTGATACGAGATGAAGAAACGGAAACATGCATCAGGGTTGCTTAAATATTAATTTTAAAAATTAATGGAGAGAAAGGAGAAAAAAATGACCTTTGTATGCAAATGATCATGTCTTTGCAAGCAATAATTTTATAATCTATCAACTTTTTATCGAAAATGTGGTACCGCCACTGGCTTTAAATTACAACTTCTTCTGTAGTCTAAGTAAATAGCTACTACTATATCGCATGGGTACCATTGGGGTAGGTAGATATGTTAAGTGACTATTGTGTTGCCTGTAAAAAGGCTCTGGAGGGAAATAGTACACACTTTTTTTTTTTTTTTTTTTTTCTTTTAAGTAATTGATAATTTCATGAAAAGTTAAATTTTGATTAATAAACATTTTTTTTTTTTTTAAATACTAGAATCTCCATTTTAAGAATGTTGTCAACACATTTTAGGATTTCCATTTAATTTGTCCTTCCTTTTAAATGAAAACTGTATCATCTATTGGGTATGAACAGGATCATAAAGTCAACTGTGCATGTTTTGAAGGAAGAAGAAAAGCTAACCCCAAATCCGTTTCCATCTGTAGTGATGACATTTAAAACAATTTGAGAATTGCTGTTGCCTTTCGAAAACAGGTCATTTCTTGTGATGAAAGCGAAGGTTAAAATTAATTGCTCGTTTCGAAATCTGTCACTCACTGATAATGATTCACTCAAAATTTCCCCTTAAAAACTGTCTTTATTTTTTTCCCGCTATTTAGTCAATAGATTTTTTTTTTATTATCTAATTTCTGGAAAATCTTTTGAAGGTCTGCTTGTGTAAAATCCCCTTTTTTTAGGGAGACACTTGTATTAGAATTTTGACTTTTATTTGTTCATTTATGTTCTGAATTTATTCACTATGGACTTTGTTCGAATGTAACCACATTGAGAAAGAAAGGTGAATGAAAACAAGTAATAATGAAGGAATCGTTAACCAGCGATAATGCAGGTTGTTGTCGAAATTTGCCACCCACCTATTCACTCGGCTTTTTCTTTTTGCTGAAATAATATATTTTTAACTGGACACAAAAGGGGATTTCGATGATGTTGATGAAATGAAGACCTTGTTTTAATGTGTAAATTTAAAATCAGTTAGTGTAAATGATAGGTTTTGGTTTGGAAAATCAACGAGTGTGTGTGTGTGTGTGTGTGTATATATATATAAAATATCTGTTGATATGGTCTTCAAGCAAGATCAATAGGTTTCTTCCTCACGGGGTTCAGATCATATGAACACACGTCCGGGAAAGTGAAACTACTGTTACTAAGAGAAGAGTGGTAGTAATAGTACTACTGCAACTGCTGCTGTTAGTATGTTTGTAATGACCTCCCTGCCTACTTTTACTTCATATTTCCATATTGCGTTTAAATTGAATCTCTCTTCTTGTGTCACTTACAATTTCCTAAGGTTTTGATGCTAAATCAAATATTTTCTGGAGCATTATATAACGAAGTAATAGTAACTAAATATTTTTCGAATATTGTCATTTTCATTTTACGAGCCTTTATAATTCTTCTATAATTTAATCATGTGGCTTTAAACAGAAAATAATCAATCTTTTTTCATAGTAGTCATCTATTCTTAGCGATAAAATACTCCAAAAACACCAGATGCGTTATGCATGTAAACGATTATCACTCGGATCGTTTTTCTTGCCTTGACGCATTGTCCAGATACCAACTCGCTAAAATTCAATTTGTTTTTTTGTTTTTTTAAAATCATTGTGTGTATATGACCCTAGCTCAGATTTTTAAAAGTGACAGATGTTCAAAGCAAGAGAAAGTGAGTGGATTTCTACGTTAAATTTTCTTTGCTTTTTCTATTTAATATATTTGAGCGGAGACATCGTTTTAAGTTCTGAAATGTTTGTTCATTTTCCGTAACACCGATCATTCCATGAACTGCATTGTCACAGAAGAGGATGATCCTAGCCAACAGAACCACCTGACGTTGATCCTTGTTACCATGCTGTAGAGAGTGTATGCTTTTAGTTTTATTTATTTTCTTTAACATTCCGTATTTACAGTGGCAGTAGTAGTTGTAAGAAAATCAAAGAAAAAGAAGCAAGCTTCATTTATTTCCTCCGTGTTCTTTGTGCATGAAACTGACCTTTTTAATAAGCACATGCTCCCACGCACTGTTTGCTGCTTAGTGACACTAGCTACGAATGGATGACAAATTTGATGATGATGCTGCTGCTGCTACCAGTTAATGGGCAGCTATTAATAGCCACAGTCATCTTGGTTTGCTGGACTTAATCGAGTAGCAGCTTTTCTCGTCATTGGCTAACATTATTTATCGAAACAAATATATTTTTTCTCTTAATCGAATTATCTTTTCCAAAATTTGTCTTTTTTGGTAACTGCATTTTAATCTATTTTTTCTTTTAAATACTGTAATTGTTTTATTGAAGCTTTGATTTAAGTTCATATTGTTTTTTTTTTTTTTTTTTTTTTTTTTTTTTTTTTTTTTTTTTTACGTTCTTCTAGTAAGTGTCACTGTCGTAATGGTTTTGTGAAGTCATTGCCATTATCCATGGTTGAAAATTATTTATTCATTTTTCTCCGCCTTTTGCGCTCTGATAATGTCAATGTGCGATTTCATTTTTGGAGGGAAAATAAGTCGATTCATCGTGTCATCTCATCCGGAGAAACAGCTCACACTAAATTAGTTTCTCCCCCAACTAAAATGGCTACGTAGAAGGAGGGAACCCAAAATTCGACCTATATTTTTTTTTTTTTCTTGTGTGCTTTAATCTAGTTGACATTGTTTTTTTACTCCACTTGTCATCCTTTGTCCATTTAAATAACAAAATGAAAATAGCATTCTTACACTACTAAGCCGGTTATGACCCATCATTTCTCTCCCGCTTTAGGACTGGGTTTTGGTTCTTTTTTTCTATATAAGTTTCCTGAAGACAACGTGGTTTCAGACTAATGTTCATGCCGAACTAATGCTGTGCTCAAAATCATTAAAGTCAAAAATGCCATTCATTGGTAACCATTAATTTTTTTCTAAATTATTTTTGTTTAAATTTCTCCGGCAAGTTGTTTCATTGGAAGCACTTTCCTCATCTAAAAACGGCCGTTGTAAAAGTTAAGAAATTAGTTCTTTTCAATGTCTAATAAATTTTTGGTGGGGATCAAATTTTGTGCAAGTTACTAATCGCTTTTTCAATCTATAAATGAAATCAATTCAAATCCCAGTCAGCAGTTGCAATTTTATTAAATTAAAACTTAACTCGAGTCATTGAAAAAAACAAACAAACCTAGCAGCAATGAAATAGGCACTCTAACTCCGTTTTGTGAAGCAAAATTTGAAAAAAAAAAAAATTTTTTTCCAAAGAATATTTACATTTTCTTCGTTTTAAATGTTGATATGAACAGTGACATGAGCATAAATATTTTTTCTTTCTTATTGTAATATACATTTTTGTGCTGTTTTGCAACAGGTCATCAAAATCATCATTTTTATTTGTTTCAAACAATTTTGAAATTAACTTAGTCTTAAAAGTAATTTCTATTTCCAAAGTGATTAATTTGGATTAACATTTTTTTTCTCACTTGGAGAATTTTAAGGGAAAAAAAATGTCTGGATTTTCCGAATTACTTTGCAAATAGGTTAAATCGTTTTATAAAAAAAAAAAGAAAAAATAATGTAAAATTTTATAAGTTGTTTTAAATATTTTAAAATTAAGAGAAATCAACGAGCTGTGTTCAATATGTCCACTTGTTTTTGCACAAATACCGTCTCCTCTAACGTCTCCCCTCCGATTATTGATTAGATAACAAGGCTGACAGGGCTCTTTCATTTTGGAGTGACAACCAATCTATGAAAATGAAACTAGCCTGAAGAGGGATGGGTCCCATCCGGCTTATCTTCACAATGCTACTGCTGTACATGTGCCCTAATGACACTCATGGATTACAGGACTTGTGACAGATAAAGGATTACAGAAGTGTTCATATTTTACTTATTTCTAAGCTGAGATAAAAGTTTAACAGCTTCATTGAT